TTAGCTTTGGGCGCTCTCGGGTTGACGTGAGCGCACCGCCGCCGTCCCCGTACGTTCATTGCGAAGCAAGTTTGTCTTCTCGAACTTCCTTCAGATTAAGCAGACCAAGTCTGGCATTGAGCAATCATTTGTCAGTCTTGAAGAAGACCGAGAGCAGATCACTTCGGTGTTTACCCAAAGCGCAGAGCTTATCCTTTACCGGATGTCTTTGTGTACGCAGACTTATGCTTTCCACATCCCTTTGGAATTCAAGCAGGCCTCCTTTGGGAAATCTCGGATGAGATTAAGCAGACTTTTCCCTTCCGGAAATCAAGTTCTTTGCATTATTTCTTGTTGCAAAGAACGGTAGCTCACGGATATTACTTGTGATACCCACATCGGCGTGACCTAGTCACAATATGGCGGCCACCTATTGTCATCTGTGCACTTTTGTATGGTTGACATTAGGATGGCACGCCATTAGCGGTCGATGTGCGGGACACAGTGTAGCGGGCATACGTCCGAATATCCGTGCACTGCTCAGTATTTGCGATTGGAATTGAAAGCAAGGGACTTCCGCAATCCAGATCTTATCGATTGCGGGCTGATCAAAGCAGTCTTGGCGAAGCCAGCTTCAGAGCGAAGCCAAGCCAAGTCTTAGCTTAAGTCAGGCCCAGTCGATCCCAATCCAACGCAGATTCCCCTAGTTTTTCTCACGACGATTGAGTTCCAGGAGGAGCTTCCCATACCGGCAGCAAGCACTACTGTGTTACCCGGTGAAGTTAGTTTCCAAGCGGAACTCAGTCCGAATTCAGACCTTTTTATTTCTTCCGAGCAGACAACATCTGCCTTGTTAGATCTTCGGATCCAGGAACGGTGCATAAATCTTTTGCGCTGCCCTGGAAGACGGGATCCTACAAGTGTAAATTTCACGTTGGGCTTTTAACCCATCGAGCTCAGAACTGGAATTTTTTCGGACTAGAACCGAACTCAGAGAGAAGGAGCAACAACCATCGCAGACCTTCTTCTTCTCAGTTGACTATGTCATCGACCACGCAGCCGCCTCGGAAGCCACTTCATAGTCAACAACCTCCATGATAGGATGTGACTAGGCAGAAGAGGAGCGGCATCAGGGCCATTCAGAAGAAACGTCAGCGATATCCAGACCTGATTCTCGGTTGCTACCTTGTGGCACCGAGTTGAGAAAGCAGACTCCTTCCCCTCTTTCGCTCGGTTCAGGCCGAAGTCCAGATTCCCTTTCCCCCAGAGCAGGAAATGAGCAAAGCCGTAAGGTTGAGCTTATTCTATGCCTATTCGACCGATTGACTTCATCTATCCAGGAATACGCGGTGCTAAGCAGTTCTATGATCCGAAGTCCGAGGATGATCCAGACTTTCAAGTCAAAGTGAATCCTACGGATGAGACGGTCACAGACTGGTTCAGAAATTATCATCGCCAATTGACCCAGATTTGGAAGGATTTTGATCTGTACTACCTCCCCAAGATCCGGGATATGAACAAGTACAGATCAGCCCTCCATCGACACCAAACTACCCAGGCCCCTCAATTAGGCGAAGTCGTGATCTTGAAAGAGCCTCAGGGCAATCGCGGGACTTTCCCTATCGGTCAGATCATAGAACTCTTGAACAGTGGCAAAGACGGAGAAATCCGGAATGTCAGAGTTCGAATGTTTAAATCAGGCCGTACGCTCGTAAGAGCAGTGACTACGATCATCAAGATCGCAGACAACGTCCGGAAATTGGACTCAGGCATGTTGCAACTCGATGCGCCAGGACCATCGGCATCGGAGGAGCATCATGCAGTTTTGCCTTCCCCCTAGCAGACTCTCAGACTTAGTGATAGCAGGGGACGCTTCTTCGGATCCGTTGATTCGTTGAAGTTGTCTTAGTCCTAGGAATAAAAGCAGGCTTTCCAACGAGGACTCATGGGGAATTTCCTTTTTTTTCTCATGAAATCCTTGTAAGCAGAACCTTTCTTTTCAAACCAGACCGGTTTTCCCCCACGCAGAATGGTTCTACACACCGTCAGCCGCCGTCTTCTCGTCTGCTCCACCTCCACCCTGTGCGTCGTCAAGCAGTCAAGTTAACGAAAGCTGAGAAGTGTTGTCCCAGGTTAGCTGACAGGAGTACGGGCTCCTTAGCGTCAGCTAACTTTCCCCAGTTTGCCCCACCCCTAGGACACTTACCAATTTTTTGGCCCCCCCCCGTCCCCCTTCACGATTCCGATTACACCTATGGACTCCCCATCTACTACTGTATGGCCCCATAGCTCGAACCTCCACTATCGCTTGTACTGTGTCTGGAGTCTTTTTTCTTTTCGTGGGGCGGAGGTCCCAATCGTCCTCGTTCCCGAAAATAACCTTGTGCGCCCCTTAACTGACCCGGAAACTGCAGACCTACAGTAGTTCTCCTACCCAAGCAGACCCCGCAGTTTCCGGAGTTCAGTAGGCAGACGGTGAAACGCGAAATACCCTGGTCTATCAGAGATCAGTCCAGAAGCGTGATCCGGGAAGCCACCACCCAGAAATCGCACAGCACTTTCGCCTTGGCTTCGGCCGGGCGGGAGTGTCGAAAGTTCTGTAGAAAACTAACGTTTTCTGCAGGACTTACGAGGTTTATTTATTCGGGCGCGCTGGGCGAACGGGGCGCTCCTTTCCACGCCATACCTCCGTGGGGCGCTCCCCTGCGGAAGGGCCTATGAGGATTTATTCCCCAGTCTCCGCGGCCTCTCCCCAACAGGGGGTCGTTGCGGCCAGTCGTTCCCGCGACTGGTTTGGGGAATAAAGCGGTGTTTGAATCAGATTTATCTGATTCGAATATCCGTTTGACTCATAATAGACTCCAGCCCAGACTTTTCCTCCCCGCCCAGAGCTAGCCAGATTCCCCCGTCCAGAGTTCCCCGTATTCGCGTCTTGTGTATTCCATGCACTAATAAACGTTTTCTAATACAATTGTTTTCAGGGTTTTGGTAAATGCATTGTACAAACACTACCGCTTTTAGCCGATCGCGCGCGTTATTGGTTTTAGGTCTTTTCTCCCAACAAGGGCTGCGGGTGGCAATCCTTCGCGTGGGCGCTTTTCCAGTATTTATTACTGGATTAGCGTAGGATGCCGCTGCCTTTCGTCAATAATGGGGAAATTGAATGTGTACAAAGAATATACCACCTATGTCGTCGTGCATAAGCTAAGAATTATTAATGAAATTCAAACTTCAAAACCGCCGTCCTTTGTCGAATTTTCTTCTTTTTAACGCGAAGTCCAACGTACCGCTTTTCCTCTTTTTCCAGGGCACTGATTAAAACCGTTTAGTTAATCCAAAATAAGAGAAAATTCTGAGATCAAACAACATGATGAGGTATGTATTAAAATAGTGGCGTCAAAATTTGGCGCACATTTCTAGCAGGAAAGGTTGGGAAAATCGGGGCAAAAACGGCATTGAGAGGCTCCAGACGGGCGCCGGTCACAGTTTTGCATTTTTTGTTTTCACGACTTCCCCTGTCTTTCTCAAACAGCTTTTTAGTCCTTTCAAGGCTTATCAAAAATGGAGAATTTATGGGAAGCAAAGGCATGTAATAAAGCCGACAAATCTTAGGCTTAGGCTTAGGCTGCGCTTAGGCATGACGCTGCCTACCTTCGCCGAAGAATTTGCCGATTTTTGAATCCGAGGCTACGTTTGTTCAGTCTTCTGGCACGGAAGTAACAGCCGGCTGATTATAGGGCACGCCAATTTAAGGATGTCTCTAGGGAGGCACAAACTTCCAAAAACTCAAAGCACATGCCCGGGGATACGGTTTCAATTACACGTTTTATATCTTGAAGGCACGTGGGGGCTGCGCGGAAGGATTTGGAGACACCAGTTTAAGAATATCCAGGCAATCAAAAATCTCAAAAGGTTCAATCAGAAAAAGAACAAAAAATTGAACGACGCTTGAGAGAAGGTTTATTAGAAATGCAATGTTTTTCAAGAAGATTTCGAGGTTTTGCAGGGTGTCTCAATAAAAAAACCCCTCTAACTAGACGTAGAAGTATCGAATCGGAATGGCAGTTGCACCATTCGAAAGCCCTTTGAACGGCAAGTTTGTAACAAGCTTCATAATTATGTTTTTATTTAAATCCGTTATTTTAAAAGCGATTTTGTAAAATTTACCGCGTTTCGAGGTTACATACACGCTAATTTACTTAAAATTCTCCATACAAACTTACCGGAAGTAGCCGTTAATTTGATGCAGAGAGCGTTTCTTAACGTTTTTCACACGTGGTAAAAAGGCGCGTTCAAATAAGAACATGGTTTTGAAGATTGTTGCAAACTTGCCGTTTCAAGGGATTTTGAACGGTGCAACTCCCGTTCCGATCCGATACTTTTGCGCCGTGTTAGAGGAGGTGTTTTTTATGGAGACGCCCTGTACATCGAAGGGCAAATTCAATGTTTTCCTCTTGATACTGAGCTTTATTATGAGCATAAATATACCAAAAAACTAGCAACAAACGCACTCAAAATCTGCCAGTAACTTTTATTATGTTGGCAGGGCTGCGACTGTCCGTTTCGCTGATATTTCTGGAAAAAGATCCTAATCTCTATAATTTTTTTGAAAATACCTCGATCTTCGCCGCGGTACCGAGGAAAAGACGAGCTGCCTGAATTCTCGATGGCGCCAGATGAAAATCGAGAGGTTGACGAGGCTCTAAAAGCGTTGGATTCAAGTATATGAGGTCAGATTGCAACCTTGGACATCATCACACAGTACCACGCACTCCTCACATCCGATGCCAAGTTGCCAAATTTTAGCATGATTTCGGGAATGAGCAGGAGGACGACGGCAGACGTTGCCGTCAATGCTAAATTATAAAAATTCGTGAGCTTCAGATTTTATTTGATTGATTTTGTAAAATTTTTGCAGTTCGGCTCGTAGGCTTTGTTGCTGTGAATTCTCAGGCTCCATGGAATTACCGAACCTGAAGTGATATTGACGCTCCGAAGAGCAGATTTCTGGGACTCGTTCAACCCAAGCAAGCGGGTCGATTGCTAAAGATATCATCAATTAACAGCCGCCAAAAAAAAGCACTTACCTTCCTGAGCAAAATCCCAATCACGGCATAAATCGCCACGGTCACTACAACGCTGGCCATACGGTTGTAAGTGTAATAACCATCCAAGGCCGCGTTCGGAAAATCCGAAGCCGTACAATAATCAGGGACCAGGGCTGAGGAAAACATATTGAGAATGATGTTGACGATGTAGAAGCCGATGGCCACAATGTAGGGCCCTGGAAGTTATCGCTTAATAAACAAACTCCGTAGTTTTATTTTTCAAGACGTTCCGATGCTGAAACGGCTCCGATTGCTGTTGACTTGCTTTAAAAGCACTTATTTTTTGATGACCTGACTGTGGAGGCCCGTCAAACTTTACAACTCTACTTTTTTGGTTTTGAAATGACTTCCTGAGTTACGGCAATTTAGCTGTTTTGAGAAAAACTGCAACTATGGCAGGTCAAAATGCTAGGAATGGGGAATGATCTTTACCCACGGGTTACCGTAGCGTAAAGAGGACGGGAGGGAGGGAGAGATAGATATCGAAAGAAAGAGAGATAGATCAAGAAAGAATGCGAGCTATAGATAGAGAGAGAGAGAAAGAGAGAACACAGGTTAGAACACTTACATCCCATCATATAAACCGCAAATCTTGGTCCATGTTTATAGTATTTTGTCGGCCACATCGCCGCATACAATCGATCAACGGCTAGGGCTAAATTTGAAGACCCGAGGATTTGAACAGCAATGAAGAAAGTGATGACATTGGGCGCAAAAGTACAAGCACTGGCTGGGACGCGATCAGCTGAAAAGCAACTTATGAGATTCCAGGTGGCATTACCAGTTTTCGGGTCGTAATATCCATTGTAGAATAGGACGCGTTTCATCTGGGAGATGAGCATCGACACAGCGTACAGAGTGTCGGCGAGTAGTAGAAAAAAGATGGTGATAAAATCCTTTTTCGCCCGTCGCTCTGCTTTGACGAGGATCATGATTTCGAGTGGGATTGTAATTACCATCACAACAACGGCTAAAAGGAGGGATGATCTTTCTCCCTCTCCCTCTCTCTCTCTCTCTCTCTCTCTCTCTCTCTCTTTTTCTCTATCTTGATCTCGATCACCTACCTTCAACACAATAAATGTAAATCGGATTCCAGCCCATGTCGCCTCAGAAATATCAGCCAAAAAATTTAGCTATCCAACTACTCAGAGATACAGTACAGTCAAGGCTGTTCGTCAATAACTTAGTTGCCAAAAATTCCGGCCGGCCTTCCGTATTTTGACGAGACGATAGATCCGGTTTTCGGCCCGGGGCCGCCGGGGAATTGGCCAACCCCATAAACGTGATATTCGGGCGAAAATCAAAAACACATGGGTTCAAAAATAAAATGACAGCGCGCTTTGATTTAATTATCGGATCAACGGGGTAAAAAAAAATTACGGCTGAAAAGCCGAGAAGTTAGGCTAAGCTGGAGACCTGAAAATTGGTCAAAAAATGACATTTTTAGAGATATTCTTGTGGACCGAAGATAGACCTGAATGCCATTTTTGGTGTGTTTTCCGATACCATGAGCGTATCTAACAGATTGATTAAAATCATTCTATATGGTAATATTTGGCATGGCTCTCCTTGGTGATATTAGGTGACCGTTTGCCCTCATCATTGCCGAGAGATTTGTGGTTTCCATCTCGCTACAAGTTACGGGGGATTTCAAGCTTATTACAGGCTTTAAAATACCATCGAACTCGATTCGGCCGGAAAATTGAAAGCACCATATCCCGAAATTCTCGATGGCGCCAAAGGAATATGGCGAAATTCACTGGGCTCTGAAATTCATTCAATGTTTCGTTGCTGCGACGTCATTTCTTCATCTTTCAAGAATTTCATTCTGCCATCGGCTCGATTACGCGTTCCCTACATTCTTCTAACCCCACACATCGGCGCTAACTTCGTCTGGCCCGTTTCAGCGCTTATACAATTTATGTTTTTTAGACAAATTCATTTTCGCAGTCTCAGTCACAGCCCGAAGGAAACTGCCGTGACAAAACCCTGACTTTTGTTTCCATTGTGGCCGGGTGTAGCGCAAAAAGTACAAGGGTGAAAAGCAACAACAAAAGCCGTTCTACGTCAAGCGGCAATACAATGTAAATGCTTACTTTTGACAACATCACGCAGTACCAGAAACTCCTGACGTGCACGGTCAACTGCCCGAATTTTATCATGCACTCGGGGACTAATAGGAGTACGATAGCAGAGAGCGCTGTTAGAACTAGATAAACCTTTAGACGAATGCATTCAAAAAAAACTTAATACCTAAAAACTTACATGAAGTTTTGTTGACTTGATGAAAATTTTTCCTGTGCCCTTCTTGAAGTCCGGGGATGTTTTTTGATTGCTGAAAGGAAACGATGGTTTTTACTGTATTCGTTTTTTCAATATAACGTTAATTTTAAAATTAAGTTTTTAGCAAATGATCCTACATTTTGAAATCAAAGTTATAAAAATTAATGATGCTGACCCGCATGACGATTAAGCCAATCATTCCATAGAGTAGTACGGTAAGCGCCACGCTTCCGATTCGATTATACGAATAATAGGCCCGGAGATAAGGATTCACAAAATCCTTCGAGATACAGTAATCCGGTTGTGTGGCCGGATAAATAGCGTTGAGGATGATATTCGCGATATAGAAGCCGACGGCTAGGGGGTAGGGCCCTAAATTTGAGTATTTCTAGCTGAACGTGTCTAAAAATTTAATTTAGGAAAATCGTTAAAAAAAAAAATATAGTTTCTTTAGGAAATTGGAGCACTTTTTAGTGTGCCTAATGAACGAGTGTAGCCGTCTGTCAGGTGCTACTACGAACCACGAAAATGGGGATGAAAAGCTTTTACTAATATTAATATTAATATTAAAACTCACACGCCATCATAATCCCAGCAAACCTGGCGCTCATTTTATAATATTTCCCCGGAAATATCGTGACGTATAGCCTCTCCAGGGCCAACGCCAAATTTGAGCACCCGACGACTTGAACAGCTATGAAAAATAGTATAACGTTTGGAGCAAATGTACATTGATCGGATTGGATCCACTCCGCTGAAAGTATCGTTAGTACCATATAAAACTGATATTACCATCGTCTGGATCATACTCGCCGTCGTAAAATATTAGCCTTTTCAATTCGACCACCAGCATTGCCAGCGCGAAAAACGTATCGGCCATTAATAGGAAGAAAATGGTGATAAATTCCTTGGCGTGGCGCCTTTCGTGTTTGCATATGATCATTATTTCGAAGGGGATCGTTAAAGCAAGGACAAAGCATGCTGAAAAAAAATATTAAAGCCTACAAGGCTTCTCCTACACTCTACAATATACACGTAGATCGGCCCTGTTGACGCCATTTCTCATCAAATAGGCAATTTTTAATTATATTTATGTAATTTTAGTTTTTAATGACAATATAGCGGCTTGAGACCTCAGGGTCCAAGGCCAACACATCCTTTTTTCGGGCGCTGACGGGGGGGGGGGGATCTTGCAAACCCAGTAGACCGTGAAGAATCTGGAAAATATGCAAAAAATGACCCCACAATCCTGACGTGCAATTCCTGGAGGTCAATGCAGAAAATTTACAAATATTCGTATAGCCAAATTGACAATGCGGGACTGTACGAAATTACCACGGCTCGGCGCAAAGTGAAAGAAAAGTTGATGACTAGCTGGCCGCGACAATTTTTGACAATGCCCGGTAAGCGGGTACCTGTCGCCGGCGGGGTCGCCCAAAGTTCTGCCCCTATATAAATGAGCCAACCAGAAGATGGGTACCGAAGATGAGGCTTCTGTTATTAATTTGCATAATTTCTTCTTCCTCTGGCGCTACAATCAAGAAACGACAGGTTGTCGTCAATTCTGGGGTCATCATCATCGTGCCGAACAGTGAGTGATTTTTGGAACCTTACAACGGTTTTAACGCGATTTTTCCAAAACCAAAAATTATCATTCTGATATGTAAATTCGAGTGGATCATTAGCGAATTATACCAATAAAACAATAAAATTCTGTAATAGCGTGTAGCCGCTCTCTCTCTCTCTCTCTGCCAAAGTCAGCATTTTCCAGATGTCTATCCGCCAGTCATCCAAGTGAACACATCGGTCCCTGCAGATAAGGTAACATCGACTAGCTATTGACTTAACTTTTTAACCGCCTAGAGCTCAACCCCTCCACCGAGCAGCACCACTCCTGAACCTCCCACTACTACGACCGGTTCGAGCACCACAACCGCTGAGCCTCCAACGACTGGCTCAAGCACTGCAACGAGCACAACGACTGCTGAGTCTCCGACAACTGCCTCGAGCACCACTGCTGAGCCTCCGACGACCACGTCGAGCACTACACCGGCTGAGCCTCCAACCACTGGCTCGAGCACGACAACTGCTGAGGCACCGACGACTTTCTCGAGCACGACAACTGCTGAGCCTCCAACCACTGGATCGAGCACCACAACAGCTGAGCCTCCAACGACCGGATCGAGCACCACCACTACTGCTGAGTCTCCAAACACCGGGTCGAGCACCTCAACAGCTGAGCCCCCAACGACCGGATCGAGCACCACCACTACTGCTGAGCCTCCGATCATTGGATCGAGCACCACTGCGGAGCCTCCGACGACCACGTCGAGCACTACAACGGCTGAGCCTCCAACCACTGGCTCGAGCACGACAACTGCTGAGCCACCGACGACTTTCTCGAGCACGACAACAGCTGAGCCTCCAACAACCGGATCGAGCACCACATCTGCTGAGCCACCAACGACCAGTACTACCACTGTCGAGCCTCCAACAACCGGGCCGAGCACCACTGCTGAACCTCCAACCACCGGATCAAACACCACTGCTGCATCTCCGACGACTACCACGAGCACTACAACCGCTCAGCCTCCTGCGAACGCGACGAGCACCACAACTGCTGAGCCTCCAACAACTACATCGGGCACCACGACTTCTGAGCCTCCGGCCACTGGCTCGAGCAGTACAACGATAACGACAACCGCGGAACCTAAAACAACCAGTACGACCCCTCTACCAACGCCAGACCCGGTCCCCGCCACCACAAATGCACCGCCAAAACCCAAGGATTGCGAGGCGGTATTTTAGCAATTAATAATTATAGCTTACTGTGGTTCAGATTGATAGATGCGAGGATTATCCTGGTTACACCAACATTAATGGCGGATGTTATAAGGTTCGTGAGAATTTGAGAATTTATTAGCTTGCGTTATGCAAGGGGGAAGGCGTGAGTGTCGCGCTAAAACCACGAGCTTAGGTGATCGAAGTGCACGCTTCGTGGAATCAAAGCCGGCAGCTATGCCAAGAAGATGCCGGTAGATGCGCCGACCTGGGCGTCATCCAATGCGACGAGCAAAATCAAGGAATTTACGGTATTTGCGCAACAGGTATTAGTGAAAAAACTTTAGAGCTTGCGCTTGCGGCCACGAAATCAGCGGATGAATCGGAACGTAAAAAAAGAGACACTACCTGGCTAAACCTGGTGAATGATGTGTATTTTTCTATTTTGCAAAATTTTGCTAGCTTTGAGTGTATTGAGTTTGAAAATCTGATTTTAGCACCTGTGGATTGGCTACGATCAGCACGGCCCGAACCAGTTCATCAGCTTGCGGCACCTTGCTCAAAATTACACGTGGGTTGGATTTGGAGAATCGAATGCCGAAGCTTCTCTAAAATAAGTGCAGGGATTCTATTTTTTTGAAACACACCAGTGTCAGGGATATTACGCACCTGATGACGTATCACAGTTACCTAGAAATCCTTCCCTTATCGAGAGACGACCGGAACATAATGGTGGAAGTTGCATGCAAACTGGCACACACAAACAAAGACTATTTTTTTATATATAGTAGGATACAATTTTTGATAGATTTTTCGCGTGAGAGGGGCTAGAAAGCGCGTTTATGTAAAAGGAATTACGGTATTTTCCAGCCATTGGATGCCGACAGAACCCAACAATGATCAAGAAAACGAGGGCTGTGCCCAGGTAATTGATAGATAAATTCTTGAATATTATTTTTCTAGATGTATCTGCGGAGCACTAAGATAGCTTATGCGGGCCGCTGGAACGATGTGAGATGCGACCGACCGATGTTGGCCGCGCTCTGTGAGATACCAACGGTGGGTGGTCTTGCTTTAAATAACACGAACGCCAGGGTTTCTGGTAACATTATATAATTCAATTTGCCACGATAAATGCTGCCTTTAATTCGTAAAACTCTGACAATACCGCTCTTTAGAAAGCGTCAATCAACGGCTGTCAATATTCAGCAACACCTGCCCCGACTTCCCGTCTAACCGAAGGTACGTCATTATCTCATTTTTCAGGCATAATTATTAATAAACTTAGTTTGTAAATAATTATTATAGACTAACGGGTCATCATTGTTATTGTAAGTTGCCAAACCGAACCAACAAAAGTTTAGGACCGCTCCAGTAGACGTACACGTTGTTATTTGGATGGTCCGGCTCCATTCACCCAAAAATTGTTAACTATTTTAATAAAGCTTAATATGACTTTTCTAATTTATTATCACAATTTATATGACGAACAAAGAAGCTAAAACAATGTGCAACGTTTTTATTGTCCTTGAAAAGTCCATCTTGCTCGCCACATTC